CACGTCAGATACAATCCATCGCATCTATTTTGGTCTGATACGGTGTCAACGAGAAATTAAATCTTCTATTAAACTTTATTTCAAACTACTTGCTAAATTCGCATCTGTTGGATAACTTTCTCTTTTTACAGGACAGTAAATAAGAATCACTGTATTGTGACTATGCAAAAAATACGTCAATCATCCCCTTTTGTGTAACAAGCTAACGTTTAATTGAATAAAATACTTAGTTCGAAAATAGCATAGACGATTACCCAATATTTATCTCCTTTCGTCACCCTAATTGACGTTTCACACCTTCCAAAGTATCATGTCCAGAATGGCTAACATGACAAAGCTATATGACGAAATTGAATTTCATATTGTCTGCAATTTCGTCAAACTTACAATTGTAATCAACGATGAATATCATAACCGTAAATGTATAACATATATGTTTCTCGTTCACTCTCATTAAATAATAATTTGGTATAGAACTCGAAGTCCACGACGATTATTATAAAGGTTTTGATGTTTATTAGATTTTATGAGAGATTTAGCCGGACGCATACAGACAATCCATCTCAACAACTATTGCACAAGTGGTAAAATAAAATCTTGTTGTCGATAAATCGTGTTTCATAACTTTACTAGACGGTGAAGAGTCGTGAAACCGGTTGACTGGTGGCTGACCGTGAACAACAGAAGCTTGCAACAAATCGCAACTATGTCGAATTGGAATACAAATTAAAACCAGACAAATTATGCTTTACATTTTTTTTTTTTTTCAAATATTACCGATAATACTTCCTTAAAACCTCATGACACTTTTTAGCAATAATTATGTAGCAAGATAACTTTTAATAAAGGAATATATCGAGAAGCCGCTTACAAATTGTACGTTTATCTTAAGTATTTAGGTCCTTAACTACTAAGCATGTAATGAGATCAACATTAAAATGTGTAGGCATATTTAGTTCATGTTACCCGCTCGTTGTACTCAATTCTACTCACGACATAATACCATACAATCATTATCTAGTAGTTTTTGCTCAATATGATACGATGTGCCCTTTAGTTTCCATTGTGTGTTCATGGAAGTTATCTACAACAAATAAGTAATTTATAAGATAGCTTTTAAATATAACTCCTCTATCACGAAAATAAAGAGGTATAACTCAATGGATGTGGCAAGCGTTATTCAATATTTTTATAATTTCATGTGTTTGTTATTGATGGAATATGATCGCAATGCTTTAATTAGCGCAAGCATTGAGTCATATCTCGTGCTACTGCAAATATACGGCTATGCAATAAAGCTAAACGCGTTGGCTTAAATTGAAAGTTATTTTGTGTTGGCACAGTGAAATATTAATGTTTACAGAAATTTATATAAATGTATGAAAACTAACAAACAATCTGAGTACAAACTAATTAACGCATGGTATCCGCTTATACAAAGTTTATCATATTAAGATGTATAACATGACACTTTCTGAATTTGGTACCATGACTCTAAGAAGACTTGATTATTTAGTGTATATTGGAGTCAGTGCTAGGTTACACGCCCTTCCTTTCGTCTGTGTCGTGACCGGGTAAATAGAGGCGTCTTTATAGATTAAAGGCCATAATAATACGTCTGATAGAAAGTCAAGCAAAATTGTACGTTGTTTACAACCGGTTACGAGGCCTGGGTGTTTCAAACTCGAGCATTAGCCTGTGTATTCTTAGCATTAATTACAGATACTGATATGGACTTTAATACTTTGTATGTAACTGAAAAACTGGAGAAATTAAATATAGACAGAAGTAACATATTCTTATTGTTATATGAAATTAGTAGCTTGGTCCTTAAAATCTCGCTGTCTTAGGAATTTGGTGACCATCGTCTGAACGTGAAGAGATTAATACTATTATATAACTCTATAATACCGTCTGTAATTTGATATTTTTTGTATAATCTCAGAATAACCGCGAATTATGTTAAGCAATTTTGCCGAACTGCTAAAACTTAAAAAAAAGTTGAAAGAAAAAAGCGTATTCAATAAAGCAAAATAGTCTATATTGTTATAGCTAAAGTCAAAAGCAACTGTATGGGACGTAGGACGATGAACTTTCACATACGAGCTCATTAATGCACCCACTGTAATGAGCCAACCAGTAAAACCAGTCAATGCGACTCGGACGATTATAACGGTACAAGCAGCGGTTGCTTATCCCGTCTTGCAGTAATTTTCTTTTTTAATCACGCAAAAAATTACGTTCATTTTAACCTTCAGCGAGCATCAACGCCCACTAAAGAAGTTGACTGTTTTAAAACGATGATTCAACATGATTCACTAATAAAGGTGATAAATGACCATTGTTAAAGCAATGATCATAATTCAGACTGATCTGATGATCTGACGTACTATTTATCTTTTAAAGAAGCAGACAACAGTGATATTTATCTCTTCCGAAAACGAATAAATGCATGGCATTATTATTTTGCCAAACACCGGATCATTCGGCAGGTAACGTTTTGTGAATAAGAAAAAACTAAAAAGGTGGCTAAAATCTATTTCACAAGTCGGCTGGGTCCCTTTCGCAACGAAGGGTGATGCACAAAAAGGACTATCGAGTTTATTTCATAAATCCCCTATACATTACGTCTATTATTATTACTTCCAACTTTTAAACTATTTCATTTTACGATCGTAATATTATAGAGATTATCGTGTAAACCAAGACGAGAACCGGTTTGGTTACGAGTTTACGAAGTAGTTATGAAACGTGTATTATGTTATCGGCCGAGCGAATTAGATATGGCTCCGTACTTTCACCGACGACTTTCTTAGCATACAAGACGAGACACGAAATACTGGTCTGACTCGTTCGCCTGACCTCACCCATTATATATGTTGGTATTGTTCACGATCTCTTTGTGTTGTCATGTCAATCGTACGCGTTAGCTACCTACGTCAATGTCAATGTTGCGATAGAAAGTTCTTGTGTTACATATTTTTGTCATTATCGCCTTCTCGGCTGAATGAACATTATAGGAAGGATCGTTGCGAGCTAATCATAGGCCATTAACGGTCATCGCTTGTTACGGTTAATTAACGAACCGTCCTTCCCCTTTCTATCCCTCATTATTCAAGGCACTATCTTCTTTAATTCTGTTAATGACTACAATTTTGCCGATACAGTTCGCAGCGTATTAAATTCAAATGTCGAATATCAATGTACGTGATCAGCGTAATAAAATAGTAGTGAATTAATCATATTCGTTGTTCGTTGCGCCCACGCTCACGCATAAGCAGGTGTTTCTAATTTATAAATACACGTAATATCGTACGAGTACACTTGCGGCCATAACAGTCGGTAATCGCTTCGGAACACGATCCGGAGTTAAACAACGCATATAAAAAGTCGATCTTGAAGAGATCGGGTCTCGGCTCTGGCATATAAAAATAGTTTCGGGGCGTTTTTATGCCATGAATATTCATTTAATTACATATTTACATAAGTTTCGAGCTTGAGTTTAAGATGACGCACATGCACGATGTCTTTTACCAGTTCGGAAACGAAATTTTATTCTCGCCTTGTTAACTTATAGTGCAAATTTGTGGTGTTATAATTTCGAGGTTTGTTTGTAGCGTCAGTATTAAGTTTTTTAAGTTCGGGCACTTAACCCAAATTGAATTGTAATCTAATTCAAGAACTTCTGACAATAACAAAATTCGTATCAATGTTTAAATGTTCAATTATATTATAAAGTTGATTAAATTCAAAGTGGTTATTCAGGTTGATAAAACAACAGCCCTGTAATATAGCTAACAACGAGTCATAAAAGCTGGCTTTGGAACGGAACAAATAAAGGTTTCGGATCGGTCTCGAGTGTCCCCAAGTGTACTTTATTACGTATGAACTTAAAAAAGTACAGCAAACGTAGGGAAAAGAAAATAAAGCTGTAACAGCGAGGGTGGTGGCACCTCGTGTGTGGCGAGTTTTAAATGCAAAGGGCTGCAATGTGTTGTTTTAATACACTCCAACATAAAGCCCATGAATGAAATTTGACACAAAGGTACAAATACTAAATTTACTATATGTAAACAAATTCTTTTCGAACTCTAGACGAAACGAAATGATTCCATGAAAAAACATAGCCTTTTATATGGTAGTGAACACACAAAAGGCAGATGTTAGTAACGCTAAAATATACAAGATGAAAGAAGCTTGTCAAAGGAATAAATAAATACAGATTAACCACGAACCGTTGGGTGGAATTACCATATCAACGTATAGAAACCGAAACACGAATAAAGAATTATGTAGAATCTATCGAAAACGACATGACCCCGTTACTCGGATGACCAATTGAAATTTAGATTAAGAAATGATAATAACAAATGTATTTGTCGTCCGCTGTGACCTCAAGATTTAAAAGGTGTAATGTATAAGTGGTCATCCATAAACATGCAAGGGTTGGACAAACAAAGAACCGTATTTGAATGTAAAATTATGGATGGCGATCTGGATTTTTCAAGACAAACACTTTTTCGAATGTTTTAAAGGGGTTATATGTATATACACTTTGCGATGAAGGAAAGTTATTATATTATATAACTAAGAAATCGCGTACGGAACCAGTAATGAAGTAAACCGCAAAACAGATATTGGGGAAGTTATAAATTCATGTGATAGTATTTTGCAATAAAGGAAGCTTTTAGAAACACTTCTTTATATATTACGTAAGTATGAAATTTCCGTGTTTTCCGTATTTAGCTTAACTAAAAAAACATGTAGTATTTTTAAACAGAGACATCAGTCTTTAAATGTGTGTCAGACATTTTCTCAAACAACAACAACAAGTACCTTATTACCTTTGCCTACATCGTATATTGAGAAACGTTAAACAGTTGCGTTATATTGACGACACCGTCGGCTTATTTGGTATTAAAATCATCTGTTTGTATAATAGGATAGTATTAAACCTCGGGCCGTTAAACGATAAAGTGAATTTGTGTTTGTTGTATTACCTTTTTTGTTAATCTCGGTGGCTTCGCGTTCGGGCGATGAACCTGTAAAGAGAGAACAATCATTTAATACAAAAAAAATACCTACATCGAAATCCCTACAAACATTTCTTACAAGTTTCTTTTACTTTGAAGGCATAAGGCTGACTTTACGTTGTTCACTATTTACAAATTTGATGCATTCACTGTTAAGTGTAACTGCACTGTTAATTTCATATTGTTTATTATTGTGTTGATCTTTAAAATACTCTTAATTATCTGACCCACAGAAACAAATTATCTGACTAACACAAATGGAAACCTTTTCGACAATTCAAAGATTATGTACTTGTGAATATTTATGAGTAGTCTTGAATCGGTTCTCGGCAACTAGTTTTGGCCTAAAGCTTTTGTGAAATAAACAACCTTCGGGTTATTTATATACTAAATATTATAACTCTGGTTTATTTCACTGAAAACTAGTTGGCTATTTATGTCTCCGTTGAAGCGGTTAAACATCGTTTTGTTATGCTGGTGGGTTGAATAATAAAATAACGCCATTATTGTATTACGTGGAATATTTTTAAATATTTAATGTTGATGTGACACAAATATATCTTATTCTAATTTTCAATCCGTTCAAATCGATAGGTTAGACTAAAATAGTAGTTCAGATTTTATACGAGACTAACAATGATTGCATGTAAATATTTCAGTTAAAAATTAACGTCTACACTTTTATGAATTTAAATAACTAATACCGCACTTATAGGCTTTCGCAAAATTGTATGCTGGTTTCAAATGAAGCTAAACTTTATAAAATAATCTTATTGCGACGGGTGTTGGTACTGCACCCGGCATTTCTGTGCGGTCAGCCACGTCCAGACCACATATGGCTAGTGGCAGGAGCAACCAGGCAGGTGCTGTGCCACATCAGGTCTCCCGCATCGCTGCGCCCACTTACACCTGGTTGGTTCACTAACCCGTGAAGCTACATTAACACCCTACTAATACATTCCTGATTCTATTCCGCAATTCACTTTTTACTCTGAATTTTAATAACACGTAACGGTTATTCTGAGCGAGCAACAATTTAATAAGAATCATGTTGTTGTAAAAACGAAACCATAAAAAAGTATATGCTTTATCAACGTTGGGGGAATATCCGATACAAGTTCAGACCTAATCTTAAATTTTTAGCACAATAGTATATTACAGAAGGTTCATAATGCTGTGTGAACATTATTGTAAAGATGGTACGTAGTAAAAAAAATCAATGATTGTATTGTCATATTTCACAGAAATTGCGTATACTACATTGATACAGAATTCATGTTAGTAATTTAATTTGTAGAAAAACAATAGCCTTGTGGAGTTATATTATTAATAGCTGAGTCCTCATATGACCAGCTCGACATTTATAACCAGTTTGTAGGTTATGCAACACAGACATGTCACGTTTGGAGTATGAGTACCTAGTTAATGCCACTCCGTCGCCACTTAACATAATCGCCTGTCAATTGACGAGAAATGTGCACTACAACGCATTAAACATCAATCGTGCTTAAAAAAAAGTGAGTGAGATCCTCTTAGGCATTAAATAAATTACATTAAAACAATATGTCGTAATATATAGTTAAAGAACAGACAAAACGTAATTGAAAAACTCTAATGCTAGTAAACTACTCAAAGTACACAATTGTTAAGTATTGTATCAATTTAATTGATTAAGAGGCAGTGTAACAAAATTCATGTTTCTCAAAAACTAATCTATTAATTCCAGTTAATATCTCCAATAGCCTTGTCGACGATTATTAGTAAAGTTATTAAGTTATAAATATTCATTTTAAATTTACTGACACGAAGTAAAATGGTAAATCCTGCGCTAAACTAACCTCGACTTGACTAGATTTATGATAAACCAACTTCCTTTTGATCCGATTAATGTATTACGTCGCTCAAGTTAGTTCTAGAAGTTGGGAATGTAATTGTCTTTACTAATATTATTACTGTATTAGACATAATAAATACGACGAGAGTTACATGGATTCTTCCTTGTCTAAAGTAAAACATTTTGTGTTTCTACACAAAATGTTTTACTTTAGACAAAATATTGTACTAACCCTCCTTAGTTTATGTGGTTCTAGTTACAAAAATGTGAAAACAACTTTGATGACACCACATTGGAAACAAAAAAGAACTTGTTTACCATGAATATTAATCAGATACATCCCTTAATTTTTATTGAGTAGCCTCATTTGTCGAATATATTATGTACTTTAAGAGGATCATTGACCTTTGTTATTTGAGAATACAATTGCCAAAGTTTAAATAGCTTGTTTTTAAACGGCAAAGATTGCGCAAGATTTTCTACTATTAATAAGTACTTGTATCATAATGTAATCGCCTTTGTTTGGTAAATGAATCAATAATAAACAAACTCGAATACAGTGATACAATAACAGGAAGATAATCATAATTTATTAATTTAAATAGTAAACAGTCACGTGTAGGTGATAAACAATTTATACAAAACATGTAGTAAGCCTATCAAAGACACAAAGGACCTGTGTTTAAAGACGCCCTTTCCAACAACACACCTAAAATTGATTGGAGAACGAATCATTTATTATGACATGTTCGATTAGCAGTCGCTTAATTATTTATGATTACTTCATTTGATATAAGCAAAAAGGGTTCAATTTAATAGCGGTCAACTTTAGATAGTTTAGAGATAAACGCCTCCACTTTATGGTACAGGTTCTCGTAGCAAATCGATTTCTTGTCACCTAACAGGGCAGACACTATCGATAAATCATTTGTGTCGATATGGCAAAATGTATCAGGGGCCGATTTCTTCTCAATGGACTCACATATAACCCAGGTCACAAAACCTTCTGGTTAAGGCAGTCGGTCACAGGTGGTCCACAAATCCGATTATCACAATTTATCACAACGATTTACCAGTGAGTATAAATTGGCCAAGATTAGCGCTCTTAGCGTTTAATAGATGTTATCGACTTGAATGCGGATAGTTGCACTAATCCTGTCCACTTGTAACCAATTAGCCGCCTGGTTACAGGTGTGGTACAGATGACAAGCTTGCGAGATGCTTTTGCGTGTTTATCGCACTTTAAGACTGAAATTTTATTACCTGACAACTTCTGCCCATGCAATTAATAGCTTCCTCTCTTGTGATTTGCAGTTCATAAAACATACCTCAATTATTTGTTTCCGATGATTTTTATAGGATCCTGACTAAGCTCCATTCATCAAACCTTTTCGTGTTATCGTTAAAAACACGCCCCTGATCATATTCTCATAAACAAAAGGCAATTCAGAATTCCCATTATACTGTCCGCCGCACGCAGTTTAATGGCCGGCCGCATACTTAAAGGGGGCACAAAAACACATGCCGTTCCTTAAAGGGACCGCGGGCGCCTTTCTTGATTGGCATGCGGTTCGACCAGTCCGCAGAACTGGTCCAAACGTGAGAAATGGAAACTCAGCGACGGCAACACCGGTGTCCGCTGTACCCCGCGGCTGATTTGCGAGCCAATTTTACTGAATTAAGTGGATATCGAAACCGATGGCGTGGAAGATATCTTTGCAATCTGAAATTGAGATATATCGACAGTTACACTGAACTTATAGTAAATGAGGATAATACTAGATACAAAATGCCACGTTAAGTGAATAAATGTTCAAAATTATAGATACACAAAGAATAATACTTTATATCCTGAACTACTACTATACTGGTCATAATTGAATTGATATATACAGACACGATTGACCAGATTATTAGTTTGCACACCAACAGAAAGGTGATAAATTATATACCTCTAGTATAAGTCAACTAGATTTACAACTAAGATCGTAAATGTTTCATTAGATGAATGTAACATCGATAGCGCGTGTGCTGTCATCAGTTACCAAAGGGACAGTTTCCATTACGTTACTGTAATATAATAGTCTGAAATCCGGGCTGAGAAATACAGGAAGTGCGGCGTTTTGTCGTAGTTGTGTGGTGCGTTCTCAAACTCTTCTTCAACTTTCTAATTGAGATAACTCGTTTTGTATGTTCTGTAACCGAGCTGGCGGATGTCGCATGACCTGTCCACTAATGTGTTTGTCGTCTGACTGGACAGGCGCACCAGATTTATGTTCACAATTAATCCGCATATCGTATGGGAGAGTTTTATTGAAAGTCTCACGTTACGAGAAGCGTATGATTGTTGCAATAAAATATTTACATTCACAATTGTTTTAGTGTGTCGTAAGTATGCAAGAGGCAACTAGTTCATCGGCAGATGTCTGCTTATCATAAATTATCGAGCAATGTTGGAATGAACCCACACTTGGCAAACGTTCGTAGTAAAACAAACAAATAATAAATTGGAGCCGTCTGGCTTGATACGTACTCTAAAAATAGTCGTGTTTTCATAAATCCGATATGTGAGTTTACGCAGAGCTAGTCCCGAGAATAAGGTCAAACGACTTGGCATACGAAGCCCCACCGTTCCTCACGCTAAAATATTTGACGGCCATAAACAATGCTTTATGTTAAATAAGAAACCGCTTAAAAGATTACCTTATTGAATGGAAACCAAATCTTAAAAGTGTGAAATTGATTAACAACGTCTGAAACCGTAACGTAATCGATTTTAAAATAAACAATAGGCACTGATTGTTACAAAAAGACTCATAGAGAAATGTGTAAGTATGTACTTGATTCGACAATTGTGGAATGGTCTAATAAAATCGTATGTTAACTTGTAAATGATCAATAAGCAAAACGAGAAAATATATGAAAAAGAATTGGAGCAATAGACACAGTTTTAGCGATAACAATAGCAATTGAAACGCAATCAATCCGGTTACGTGTCCGACGGAACAACTATGTTATCAACCGCTGCTGTCGTCCGTTCAACGCACCGCTTATCGCCATTGTAATTAACTCAATGGAGCTAAGTTTGTAAATCATAAAGATCACGTTGCTAGTCACACTACACCCAGACAGCTATGATTGTACTAACAATTGCAAGAACAACAGCGTGACGTCT